AAGTGCTATCGGCAACAGGGATGAGGAAGTGTATGCATTTATAGGGGTGCACTGATTAAGATTTTCTTGGTCGATACTGATAGCCGATTATTAACCAAGCATATCAGCCAATGCCGATCCGATAACGGATATTTAGTAATAAATGCAAGGCATTTTAAACTATGGACATAAATAAAACTTTTTTGTTTTGTTTTACATTTAACACGCGCACAAACTAGCTTTAGTTCACACACCCCCACTGCCATTTCTAAGCGTGGGGACGCTGGTACGGAAGACAAGGCGGCATTTTAATTAGCGCAGCTCTCGGAGGCAAGAGGGAACCCAGGTGTCCGGGGCCCTGGCCAGAAGGGATAATTATCACAAAACATTATCAGCTACAATGGCCGATAATGTCATTTGCCTTTTAATGGCGCTGATCTGATAGGCAACCAATATATCAGTGCACCTCTAGTTTTAAATTATTTTGATAAAGCCTGTTAAAACACATAACGCGACAGAGCCTACATGTATGACAGCTCCACTCCCTGCGACATTTAGGAACAAGTCTTTTGATCTGGAAATCTGTTAAAAAGCTTTTCATGTGAAAAAGCTTCAGGTCAACAGTGAAAAAGGAAGCTACAAATATTAGTAATCAGCCATAAGGCTTCATTCATTTAACTCACTTGAACATCTGTAAAGGCCATTTGGTTAACACCACTGCATCCTTTCACTTATCAGAGCAAATCTGCTTGCTGTTCCAAGCTCTGACCTGATTATAGGAATACGAGGAGCTGAAATGGGAGGATGGGGCTAAACTTTCCTATATTTTAAGCCTATTACCAAAAATGCCATTTCATAAACTACAAACCAGTTTGCTTTTAAATATGCCATACTGTACCTGAATGCCTCGAGCAGTGAGGTGGTCAAATAGGGTTTTCCTCATTAACAATCTGCAGAGAAGAGAAAAGAAAATCTGACTTTGTCCAGCAGCTGAAACATGCTAGGCATCTCAGACTGTGACTGCTTCATAATATCTTAATGCTTTGTGCCAAATGACCCACCAGAGTACACAATTCAGGACTTCTGCTGGCCAGGGCACCTATATTTTTGGGGTCAGGGAAAATTGTATCAAGCAGTGGGGCAGGAAATGGCCATGTGAAATGGAAGGTCAGATTCTGTACCAGTGTACAATGACAGGAAACTACTAAAGTAAAAAGTAGTTCAAGTTTATTTTATGGGTACAAGAAAGACTCCTGCCTAATGGGGGTGCTCCTTGGTGTTTATTGCACAGGATAAACATACAAGTAACACAGAGAACGTGGGAAAAGATCTTCTTGGTGTGCTGCATGGGATGCCTATCACATTGCCTGACGCATACCCGATACAACTATTTGACAATGTGCAAACCACTTAATTTTAGTAATAATCAGTCCTAGTCGCCTGATGTAACAGTGGGCATATAACACATCACGAAGATATTAAAAATCTTACGCATCAGCAAACTGGACGATAAACTTTTGGCTTCTTGTCATTTTGTGTGGTTCTTTCAGCCTATAAAGAGAAAGGAAAAGGACCTTAAAATAGCATCAGCTCAGAGAAATCTCACTTGAGATGGTGTTCATGCAAGGAAAAAGTGTCGACAATCTCGTGATGTCACAATAAGTTTATCAACATTTACGACAGAACTAAGTGCAAAAGAAGTCTTCCTTTGCCTCTAAGACCAATGCCTTAGCTTGTGTTACAAAGGAGAAACAGGCTGTGATAAGTGCAAAGCAGAAGAGATGCAGTTTTAGTTAATGGTTTGGGTAAACAGAAGTTCCTAAGATATTTTAGCAGCTCTGACACTGCTTTGATTCCTGGCCTTCACCAGGGCATGTCACCCTCGTCTCAGTCTCTACATTTGACGAAAGGTAAATGATATGCAAATCAGCATTCTGCGAAACACATTTATATATAGCATTGCAGAAGTGCTAGATACTAGCATTGAGCCAGAATCAGAAAAAGCAAAGGCAGTTGCTTTCTTCCGCAGGAGGACAGACACGATAAGCTACCGTACACAGGAAATGTGCTAGGTACATGTATTTAACACACATCCTGCTGCTAAGAAATTCAAGGTTGGCTGTAGGCATCTTTGAACTAAAATAGAAATTCTGTGTTTTCATTAAACACTCATTTGCGTATGCCTAAAACTGACAAACAGGAAAAAACAGACATGTCTAAAAATGTCTGTTTAGAATAGACACCGTCTCTCTCAACACTGAGATATTAAAACCTTACATTTTTCTAGTGCCTTCCACACAAAGCACTTTACTCAAACAGAGGAATAATTTGAAAGTGCTGAAAAACATACAAAGAGCAAAGTTTTAATAGCACACTGCAATACCACCCATTTCTAGGGCAGCCAGGGAGACTTAAATGAAACCAGTTCCTCAGGTTGGCTGGACACGCTACACAACTCCTCTACCCTTCTCATGAGTGGAGTCTCAAATAACTCAATGAGGACTCATATATTTACCTACAAACTGAAGAGACTATACTTCCAGCAGAATTTGATTCCTAGGGCTATGCTTGGGCATTAAGAAATGCAAGATATTATCCAGGTTTTGATGAGAGTTTTATTTGAAAGCTTGTTGAACATTACTTCAACCATGCAGTTGGTCCAATACAAGATATTACCCCCCCAAAAATCCTTGCTTCTTGCATAATTCCTGGACCATCACAGCTGCATCACCCTTAACACTACTACTACCACTATTTGTTTCAGCGTTCAATTTTTCTTTGAAACCTCCCCGCTAAGAAATGTCCCAGGCAGCTTGAGAAATCTGACTATGCTGTGCCTGAAGTCTGCATGGTCGTTCAATTTCCGTGATTCCCCCCATCGCAGGTGTGTGCATGTCACTTACTTGAGAATGATCGAAGGCATGGGTATTTCTAAGAACTCTTCCCTGAAGGGAATGAATGGCAGCAGCCCCGTGTAGAACAAGCCAACAAGGAGGAGGACACGTTGCAAGCAGAAGATAGTAGGAATGTCTGCATTCTGTAGAGCCAGAAAAATAACCCAAGTTATCTAGCAAATTGCTGAAAGCTTTGTGATGAAACTGAACCTTCCGCCAGCCTGCTGTAAAACTTGAGCACTTGTGCTTAAAAGGATTTAAAACCTCATTTTCCGACTGTCCAACTCGCATAGGTTTGCCCTCAATTTTGAAAATGCTGCCTGGAAACCTTGTTAAAGTCCACAGCAACTGTAAGGGGCAGCGGTGGGCATGAAGCCACGCTTTTTAATGGGTCAGGCACTGTGCTACCTGCCTCCTCGTATAGTCCTACAAATTCCTGCAGGAAACAAAGTGGCTCAGCACTTCCTGTCTCTGACCCCTGGGATCACAGAACAGTTGTGCTCCAATTGTGATCCCCACTAATGGTACATGAGCCTGATGTGAATTCACTTCACAACATCAGTGAAGTACAGGAACAGGTACCATCACTAAGAAACATAGCTGTAGCTGACTTGGGCAAGCAGTGCTGTCCAGTATCAGTACAGACAGCTGAGCACCCTCCAGCAAACCAGGAGGGCTGCATTCAGACATCATCACTTATTTAAATAGGAATGTGGTTTAGACTGCATCCAGAACAGCCACCAGAGGGGTAGAAAAAAACAGCCATCAGCCTCACGATGCCCAGATCGTCAGCGCCCCGAGTCTGAAGAGCACACCAGCTTATATGAATATGGGCGAGGAAAATCACCAGTGGGGGGAACCCTTAAGGGAAACAAGGGGACAGAGACGAATTCTGAAGATTTAAGTGCCAAAAGGCAGGAATAGCCTTACTCCCTCTGCCATTAATCTGATCTTGCCTACCTTTCTTTATTGATCCTGTATCAAAGATGTGTGCCACATTACCGCATAGTGCAAAAACCCTGCCAAAACTAAACTGGGGTTATATCAGCACACACTACCGCTTTCACTATACTGGCATATTGGTACTGACACAGTTTTAAAGCAGTTAAAGGTGTTAGTGTTTGGTATAGCTAGTTTCTGTACAGATAAAGGAACAAGCCTATGCTGGTATAAAGCACCTTTTTACCAGTGTAACTGCATCCAAACCAAAGGCTGTACCAATCAATTTTAGCACAAAGTCATGTCCTGGGACATTCCAAAACAGGCAGAGAGTGGTAGGGTGCCTGGGCCTTGTTCCTTGAATGTTTTACTATAGAGCAGACAGGTTTTTAGGAACCTCTAGAAGACGGAGTGAAAGTTGTTGGAAGGGCTGTTTTACTTATCAGGTGTAGTGATCCAGGCAGCACAAATCAGAGAGCACACGTAACAAACTAGGGAGGTAGGAGAGAACTTCGGGAAAGTCCAAGAAAGAGCAGGATGGAAAATTAGTTTTGAAAACGAGGCGAGCTTAGCCCTGATGCAAAAGGGAGCCAGAAGGCAAGAACAGGGTCTGTGACAGAGCAGGGGAAGAGGAAGTATGCGAGGAATATCAGTGAAGCATCAATTAAATACATTTGCATTTGTTAAAATGAACACAAATCAATGATTAAAAACATCAGACTTTAAAATTTATCAGCACTTCTATGTCTGTTATCAGCACTTCTGCTTGTGGTTAGCATCATGGTGCTACACCAGTTCTGAGCCCAATAAAAAAACCTGTGTATATGGGCAGAACACCTCATTTACAGAGTATTTTTCTGTGTTATGACCTTGCTGAAACAGACACGCAGGATGGAGACTGAAGCATCCATCGGGTACTGGTATTTCTTTCAGTGCTTACCTCCTTAACACACTTCGTTACAACTTCATGACTGACATTGCCCCACACAGTCAAATGCTCTCGTTTGTACTGGCTCACCAACTCTGAAACCTGCAATTAATGATTGGAAAGTTCAGCACAGTGTTTTAGATCAAGATGTGTAGACCACTAGCATATCTAATTGAAAACACTTGGGGAATTTTGGAAAAGCAGCATGCCTCAACTGGAATCTGACAAAGATATCACAGGTTCCTCTTATGTGATGTACCATGCGTGTACTTATGTTATATCTTAGTGATATGAGGGTGCCAAATATCAGAACCTCACTTTTGTACATCCCCTGAAAAATAACAAACAATCTACTAATGTAGTGTCCCCTCCTCTGCATCATACTGAGGCACAGATTCAGGTCTGACTCAGGAGGAAGAACACTGGCCCCCAGATCACCAGTATGCCTCCTGCAACACCCAAGGCTGTCCCCTCCAATCTGTTACCCAAATGCAGATAAGACCTGACCTCTGCATGATATGACTTGAATTCAACTCAAGGTGACTTGGCTGTGAGAAGCAGTAAAATGTATTACACACCTTCTTAATCAGCACATTGTTGTTCACTTTGATGTCAATATTGACAGGAGTTTGGGGGAATGCCTCAAACACTTCCTTCAGCAGTGGAATACGATTATCTTTACCCTCACAGTGGCACTCTGGGAAGGGAAGCAGAGTTTTAGGTCACCGCTTCAACTTATCAACACTTTGCAGATGAAAAGAATCACAAAAAGTACTCAACATTTTGATCAATAGCATAAGAAGAAAATATTTTCTAAAAGCATATGCTTTGAGGTAAGACGATCCTGACCCTATCCCAGGGAAGCCAAATCAAGGCTACCCCAGATAAAAGTTACCTTTCTGAAACGTGACATCCAACTTGCTGAGATAACGCGGGAGCTCCTTTAAAAATACAGAGGAAATAAACGTTAGTACACGTGCACCGATGCAATTGTTGCGTTCCTTGAAAACGAGATAGCATAACACGTTTTAAGCCATCCATTGCAAATTCGCTTGAAAGTAAAGGGAATGTTTGTATATATTTTTCAGGACTCCTTGCCTGCAGCCCCAGCACCAAAATAGCTTTATGATTTGTTCAGAAGAGGAAATAAATAAGAGGGAAATATTTTTCCACTTAACAGTGAGTGAATAGAGACTGTTTTTGAGAATCTCATGGAAGACTCCAGCAATTCTGTTAAAATGCTAGTGTAAATGACACAACTGCAAGAGACGTGTTTAACACAGTCACCTAGTGCTCTGACACTCGGTGAAAGGTGCTCTGCAATGAGCAACACACTGGAGGCCACAAGCGCAGCGTCCATTGTTTCCTTCCCTTCTCCAGTCCTTCGGCTTTCACCACTGCAACAGTAGAAAGGCTGGAGTGCTGTTGTAGCCATGGGGGTCCAGGAACCACGCAAGAGGCAAGGGGTTGTGCGATATCTTTTACGGGAGCTGACTGCATGGTTGGGAGAGGTACTGGACGAGCTTTCAGGCACAACGTGCATTGCACAGCCTCCCCCGCTTTCACTATCTGCTCCAATTTACCGAGTACTTGAGGTCAGATATATTGATGTCAACTCCAGTCGATCTCTTCAGGTTCTCATCATGCGATACCACCACTTGCTCGTCTTTCGTCAGGTGACAGTCTAGCTCCAACATGTCTGTCCCTATCTTAACCGCGCTGCAACAAGAAAACAACTTTGAAAAATATTCCCTTTTGGAACTTACAAACGCATCAGTTAAAAGACTTCATCTAGTTAAGTTAGATTGAAAGGACTTTACAAATGCAATGCAACTAATTCTCATGATGCATCTATGACAGATCTCAACAATTCCCTTTTTTTTTTTTTCCTCCAGGGAAATGCTGAGGCACAACTTGCACAAAGCCACATGCGGAGTCAGTGTCAAGAGCTGAGCCTGGAACCCCTGTGCTCCCGGGTCCTTTGTCTTGTGTCCTCTCTCTGCCAGTAACATCCAGGTTTCACCACGCTAACAAGTACCTCACCACAGAAGAATTATCCTTGCAGGATGAGGGCAGGCCTCGCTTTCCACTGTCATTATTCCAGAATTTTAGACGCCTGACACTTTAGAGCAAAAATATTTACTGCTGGCAAAGTCTTAACTGAATTTCCCTGTAACACGAGTTTCACGAATGATGTAGGGTTTTCTTCCAAGCAATTACGGTTGCTTGTTGTTCAATTCTTTGCTAAGTATGAATGACAAATGACACACGAGGGGCAAGGTAAAGAAATACTGAACGCTTTAGCATGGCGATTCTTTAAATAGGCAGCCTGATTTAAATAAGCAGGGACGGTATGGCTCAGGGGGTTACCAGTGGGACTGAACAGCTTGCAGCTACACAAGAGATGCATGGCTGTGACCACTGGATAAATGCTAGGTGCCCCATAAAACCAAACGCTGCAGCCAAGTCACTATCAAACAGGAATACGTATGCCACAGAAGCCAGTTCTCCCAAACCTCTGCTAGTCTCAGTCAAGGGAAAAAGAGCCAAAATAGATCAAATTCCCTTTGTCGACATACAATGGACACTCGCCGGTCAGTTCTGATACAGGGTCTGCAGAGGCACAGAGAACCTCTGAATAGTTACTGTACTGGCTTGTTTTGGTAAAATTTAAATTTGTTTTAGTTGACTTAATAAATCTGGTTTTGTTTCAAGTTTTAATTCACTGCTGTTGGTCTCTCCTTCCAAAAACTGAAAGTCTAGCTTTGAGACTTCCTTAAATTTTCAATGTACGAAAATCAAGTCACAAAAGGCTAGGCGAGAATCATTTCAGTTTCGTTTTGGTTTTGCATGCTAGACGCTATTTTAAAATGTGTGATACTGAGTGACAAGCCTCTCGAGCCAGTGTGTTAAAAGGATGAATCATTGACTTTGAAAGCTGTAAATGTCACTCACTCAGAAGATATGGCCTCATTTTAACAGCACTAAAAAGTAGTCATAGGTTAAGTAATGACAAGTACACATACTATTATGTAATGCTCTATTGGGCTTCACGGGCAAAGATCTGAGCACAAGGAGGACTTAAATCCTTTTGCTTTTCTGAGGGAGTTGAACAGAGAAGGCGCATCGTTTTGTGTACTGTGCATATCCAAATATATTACTTCCTTGACCAGTGATGGTGGTCAATACAATTTGATATAACCACATTCATGTCTAGGTCTTATTTTTCATTTTAATGGGTTTACAATGAGTTTAGATTGGATTTTTATTTAACACTCACTAAGAAAAACCCAGATTTTAATTTTCATAACAATACACACAACTGCACATGATCTGTTTCGCTATCTTGAAATTCTCCGAGTAGCAAAACTCATAAACCATCAACAGGGGGCAGAGGAGACAGAGAAATCCTTGCAAGAATTGCTGCAAAACGAAATCCCCAAGCAAAACTGGATTTGAATCAGCTGCGTATTCTCCAATGACCTGTATAAAAGACAGCCAGAAACTTTACAACTGCCATTACATTTGAAAATCTTTTGGTTACAACAGCAAAATATTTTTGTTCCCTTTGCGCGCGAGTCTTCAACATCTGCAAACCGAGTTCAATAACAGCATTTTGGCCCTCAACCAGAGCTCACCAAAAACATATAGGAGACTTTTCTTTGATTTAATAGGCTATGAATCAGACCCTTTAATAAAATCGGGACAAATCAGAAACATATGTAGGCGACAGAGTGATGCAAATTTCACAACTACTGCCAGGATGGCTTTTTTTTGCCCCCTACACGATTTCTGGCTTATATCTAATGACAAGAAAGACTGGGGGTGCGTCAAAGTAAAACCAGTTTCTTATTAACGACTACCTTGGAAAGGACATGAAGTGCTATGGGGACAAATAATAATTATACAATTGCCTGCTTCCAGGTGACTGAATTGCCCAGAACAAGGCAACATCTCTAATCCAGGACATTTGTCAAATTAACCGACATTTCATTTCACTTTCAGAACTTGCTATGAAACAGTAACGTTGCTAAAAATTTCAGTGCTCACGCCGAGTGGAAGCAGGAGAACAAGAGCGCCGATTGTCAACAGTCTTGAGCAGTGGCCAGGCTGTTACTACCTACATCTGTTGTTAATGGGCTTCTCTTCTTACTACTTCGCGTTTTTGGCTGGAAATGACAGCTTGATCGGCAGCACATCAGAACGTCTCGAGCCCACGCTGCTCCTAAAAGGACTCGAGATACCGCCCGGACGGAGAAATGCAAGGTCTCAATAGCGTTTTGACACTGCTGGCCGATGTCCGCAGGACTTGAGATGTAAGACTTGTGTCCATAGCTCACAATAGCACCACTGTCTGTTTTCCGACTGCCCCAACTCTTTCCGAGTAGTGGAAAATATCCGAAAAAAAGCCTGGACATTCGTTCATGTTGGACACAGTCCAGATCAGTACAATGCCTATAGTTTACAAAGACCAGGCTGACAAGTCCTATAATTTCCCTATGGTCAGCAAATCCACTAACGAGCTACCTCACCTAAACAAAATCAATTCTGACAAGAAATGAAAACACAGTAAAAACTGAAACACGAATCTCCTGACATCTAAATAAGCTGAGGTCCTAGGGACACAGTAATACGTTGCAAGTTTCAATTACAGATGCAATTAAATTGCTGTTGATCCATAGAGCATGCCAGGTCCCAAAATAATTTAAGGTATGTGGAAAAAAACAAAGCTTTATTTTCCCTAAAGAAATTGTTTTACACCTAATATTACAGTGCAAAACATTTGACCATATTATAAAATGTAAAAATCTCAGAGAAGCATGTTCGCACTGTGAAACAATGCAAACAAAAAAAATACAGTCAGTGGCGCACAGGATTTATAACTGAAATCAGATACGAATCTGGCAGAGATAAATACTGAAAAATCCAAATACCATCTCAAAACACTGAGCGATTCCGAGACCACTCTGCCAGGCAGGGGCAATGACCTCTGAGTTTGGAGATACTTAAATAAGAGGAAATTATCCAAGTAAGAAATTTGCAATCTACCCTACCGACACGTGGATTCACTAAATTAAGGAAAAGAGAAAAATCTGCTAGACCTCACCTCATCCAATTGTATTCAAACTCTAGATTGAGTTTAATGTTAAATAGTCAAAAGATACAGCTTTAAAACTAAGGCAATCTATTAAATAAAGGCCAAGAAAATGGTAACCAACTGCTTTGAGAAATGTGTGCTAGCAGAGTTCAAGAAAAAGAGAAAGAGGGGGTTTACAAACCCACAATGCTAAGCTGCCATGGAGATTAGAAACCCGGTGGCACTTTTCAATACTGCTGTTTGGTTAGAAATACTGGCACTGCTGAATACTCTGGAAGAAAATGTACTAACAGATGAGGCTGCTAAGCATAAAGAAAGTTAAAAAAAAAAAAAAAAAAAAATCAACTTCTTAGTTTAATTCAACTTCTCACTTTTTGCTCAGCTTCAAATGGCTTCAGTGCAGATCAGTGTAACATGTGAACCACACAAAAAGCTTTTTAGATTTATTTACGAACATGCTGACTCTCTGCATGGCATCCTAAACCTATTGCCAAGAACTGACACCAAGATTATTGTTTCCAAATGCACTGAAGTCAACACTAACCATCATCTCTGTTACAAGAGACTTATTCAGCTGAAGACACCATGCTTCTCAAAGGCATCGCAACAAAAAGCGAGCAATGTATGGCATATTTTGCCAGTTAGCACATATTCCCTAGGAGTCAGGTGTCCTACTATTCTATTCACAAATACCACTTTACAGTAAAACCAGGGGCAAGTCACAATTTCTATGCCTCAGCATTTTCCAAATTTTACAAATGAGAAACTTAGCAAATCTCTCTCGTCGCCTGAATGAGAGACGTTTTACAAATGTAAAGTATGAGAGAAATAGAGTATTTTATCTCAGATGATCTGTGGCATATGTGTTTCTTTAATGACGCAGTCAGAAAAAAAACCACCAAAAAAATTAAGCAAAGAGTAATATGCAGAGCGTGTGTTCCTCTTGTACTCACTGATGAAATGCGGTCATTGTATTTTCCAGGTTCTCCCCAGCACCTGTGGAAAAGTTAAAAACAAATTAGAAAAAAAGAGACTAGAATCCCGCCCTTCCTCTCTCCTCCAGATGCTGCCAGAGAACGGCATTAACATACTGAACTGAATGAGTGAAAAATAAGTATTGTGAAGAAACAGGGCCTGGAAGAATGAATACAAGGTTGAAGTCAGGAACTTCGTTCTAACTGTAGCTGAGACCGACTCATTTGTTTTTAATCTTAGAAAACTCATACCACCTATTTGTGCCTCAGCTTCCCAGTCTGAAAAATTGGTGGAAACCCTAACTTACAGATGTGCACTAAACCTTTGGGTCTGTATGATCCTTGACTATATCAATCACTGAAGTGTTTAGCCTGTATAACAGAGAACGAAGATGTTCAAGCTTTGCCCAAAGGCCACAGTGGGAATTTGCACCAAGACTTCAACTCGAGGAACATAATACTCTGCTTGGATCCTGTAGCTCTAACCTGAAAAAATGCAACTGAAGGCTCTTTTATATAGAACCTCATGGGGTTATTTCAAGCAAGATCTAGCAAGGACAAAATCCATTTATGATATTTGTTCACATAAGACATCAAGAGCACAAGTGAACCACAAGACTCGATAATCAGATGTGGCAATGAAGATAATCATCTACTACAAACAAGTCACATAAAATAGCTTCGTCTGATTGACACCTGTCCAGTGATCTGGGTTTACCTGCATCTTGTATTCATTAAGTAAGAAAGAAAGGAGCCCAGTGCTACTTCTTCACCAGTTCTGTAAAGTAATTAAGATATTGCCAACTCACTGACCATCTTAAGCTACAGCTTACATATGCGTTTTTAAATTAACTCATTTTCAAATGCAAGAAGATAATTTCAGCCTCCAGCCAGGGAGGTTTCCAATGTCATTATTTAGAAAGCGAGTTGAACCCAGCAGCCGCATCGTCCCAAAGAAAGGAAGGTCAATACTGTTAGACCCACTCACATCACAGGAGAACTGGGGCTCAGGTATCTTTGGCCATGACAGTGTGATCCATAATGCAGCAGCAGAGGCAAGAGATCTATTTCAGGGACTGGGGAGTAAGGAGAGAATGAACGCGGGGAGAAAAGTCAACTTAATCTCCAAGCCCGTACTCCCTGCACACACTCCCCAGCTTACGTACAAGAGAAGGTGAAGAAATGCCTCCTTTTCAGCACTGAAACCTCCACTAGAAACATACTGCTCTAAATGTGTTCTGCATTGATCCTGCCTGAATGAGACAAAAACAGATCACAGCTCTAGGCCAACATGACAACACATGCCTTTTTGTAAATAAAAAAGTCAGCAGCAACATCAATGTTCTCCAACTGAAATCGCCAAGGCAATGGCTGGTCCTCACGGTGCTGCCGCTTGTTTCCACCTACTGCACTTGATTAAAAGAAGATAACCTACACATTAGATCCTCACCAGTTCCCTGTACTGACTTGCTCCAATTTGTCACAGCATATCATTGCGAGTGGGGAAGGCGGCCTGAGACGCACGCAAGCTATGGTCTGCATTAAAGTGATGGGGAAAATCCTGGGCCACGGTTTACAACAGCCCTCAAGTATTTTAAGACTGCATCTCAGTTGTATGATACGTAGCATCTTTTGCAACCTGGTGAGTAGATCAAACATGGTATAAGTTATAAAGCGGTCCTATTAATTTACATCCTACTGTTTGCTAAGTGTAGACATGATATACATGTAAGGGGCAAGGATTTCTCTGGGTGGTATCTTTTATTGGATCAACTGCAAAGGTGGGATAGAGTTAGACTAGATTTCAAATGGAAGGCAGCAACTTGTCTAACTCTATCCCACCTCTGCAGCTGGTCCAATAAAAGAGATCACCCAAAGAAATCTTTGCCACTTGCATAATTCCTGGACCATCACATCTACAACACCACTACCACTACCATGACGTGATGTATACCACACTGTATCAAGCTGAGGAAGACTGTGTCCCGGCCTTATTATGCAGCTGACAACCTAAATAGAGAAGAAGCAGTCATAAAATGTTCTGAATTATGACCAGCTGAATTCATCTGCCAGGAGTATATATTGGATACCAAGCTGGAAATACCAGAGAATAAAAGCCTATATTTTAAAAATGTACTACCAAAGGCTACACTAATAGGGTGCTTTCTGACCCAATTTGAATAGTGTCAACGGACGCCTAATTAGCATGCAAAAAGGAAAGACAAACCTTGAGCCGTGGTGGCCAAAAGAACATTAATTTCAGCTGGAAATGATACACAAATGAACTTTCCTGCGCGCCAGGAATAAAGAAAAGATTTACAGGCGGAACATGACATTTCCCAAAGTTTGAAGCAGCTTTCAAAAAAATCGCCCTGCAGTGGGACAAGCAATAATGATACCTTTTTTACTCTGGGAAACAGCTTGCATTCAACACTGAATTGAACTTGAAATTTAAAGCAGCTTCAGTCTGAGAAAGGAACATTTTACTGGAGAAAAGACCTGGACAAATTTTAGTTGCCCCTTGGTTATGACAACGGCCGAGACCACATTACTGATGCATGTCTATTGTTTTCCTATTTCTTTTCTTATTTTCTTGCTTGCATCCATTTAGGTCACCCTTTATAAAAGGTTATATCTGGTTTCACACCTTATTTTGCTTTGCTATTTACCCAGGTAGCCTCAGGAGAGATGAGTCAAAAGACAGGTAACAAAAGGGAATCAGGGGTTTAAGGCCTCATCTACTTCCAAAGGTAGTTTAGCTTAACGATGATTTTCAACTGCCTTAGTCCCACCATGGCAAGACCGCTTGCAGGCACATTCACTTGGATTTGAACCTGGCACACAGAGATGGATAAATCGCAAAGGACCATCCTCACCTGATGGCCGGAGTAAGAATCTCAACTTATCTTAAGCTTCAACTTCTACCGCAGCCCAAAACCTATAGTAGCAACAGTGAATTGTAAGTGAAGACAAAGGGAAAAATCAAATCAATCTTCTGTTTTCATCAAAACCGCAGCATCTTGACGCGCCAATCTGGATAGAAAAACCTATAAATAAAGTTCTGACTGGCTTGACCAGCTACAAGGTACCAGCGGGATAAAGAGGCCAGCAGCAGAAAACCCTGTTTGCAGTGCTTTTTGAGGAGTGGAAAGAAATAACCAGAGTAGAGAGTCAATGGAAAGTTTCAAAGGTACTGGAGTGAATATATCCAGAACCTGACAGTCAGACGAGACAGCTGGGGCTCAGCTGCCTTGGCTGGAATAACGGTCTGTGCTGACCGAGGTCAGTTAGCAAGGTGTGTAGAGACCCTGGGAAAAGAAGGAAGAATTAAAACAAGCAGGATGAAGCAAACGCATTAGCAACAAAATACATAAATAAAACCAGTGAGGCTCCACCTCCAAAGGGACCAGATTCCTCTGTAGCAGAAACAGAAATCTGATGCGAGATCTGGGCACTCACTCCCTTCTCAAATTTTGAGCATGGGGGAACGTTACCCAGAAACGCGGTAAGAGATCCATCAAAACAGACGTCTAGACCCTGCTGGTAAGATCCATTTTGCTTGAGTTCTATTTGAAGATTTACAGTAATTAGGTTAGGAAGCAGGACGAAGACGCTCAGATACCACAGTAAAGGATACTGTCTAAGGAACTAGCAGAAGATTAAAATCTGTGCATGAGTGCGGGAATGCAATTTAACGCCACTCAAGGGCAGCCTCCCCAGTGAAAGCATGTACAGTTTAATAAGGAAATCCTGTGAAACAACTAAAACAACAAGGCTTTAAAGTGATGTACGGTAGCAGCACTTGGAAAAACTAAGTTTAATGAGCAAACCTGGCACTAATCTGGAAAAGATCCATATAAAAAAAAAAAAGAAAAAGTAAACCCTTTGCCAAGAGCAATCAAGATTTTATCTTTTGCAGATGCTCAGCCTCTGAAATATTGTAACGCTTGCGCTGAAAGATAGAACTAAACTTGCTGCGTTTGTACGGGGGAAAGAGTGGTAGCTCACTAGGGGACTAATTAAGTTCTCTCAGGGGAACTGCCGTGTTATCAGTCATATTCTCTCGAAATGTTTGTAGCAATGCTCTGAAACAGGGGCTCTAGTTCTGCAGCAGTTCCCACGAAACAACTTGTGAAAGCGGAACCGAGTCAAGAACCTGGATTGCTTAACCAGCTTACCTGCTTGGAAGTGTTACGACTCAATTCAGTGCGTGTTTTCTAGCACATCACATATCTAAGCTTCTCTCTGTTGATATCTTTTTCGCACTTACTTTCTGTGTCAGATCTCTCAGGCCCAAATAAAGGCAGCTTTCCTTCCTGGCACTGCTCGCAATGAACCTAGCTTGTCACTACAGGGCTGGGAAATTGGGTCTAAAGCTATAGCATTGCTAAAGGGCCAAAAACCATCACCATTCAAGAAAAGGGTCAGGGACAAAACTACTAACTAAGACAGTTACAAAATGACGGATTCTAAAAACACATGTGGAAAGTGAGGGCCCCTCCTTGCTCATCCAGTTTCCTTATTAAGAATCCCCCCTAAGCACAAGAAAATATATGCACTATCAATTATTAAGACGGATGCTTATTTGTGCTGGGTCTGATGACCGGACCATACTTAGGAAGGGACTGCAAACCAATCGGCATAGCCAGCATGGCGTGCATACAGTAGAAGCACTGGGTTGCTGACCCTTGAGAACTGGTATTTTACAAGTTGAGAGCAGCCCAAGATTTTCTGCAAATAACAGATGAGGACTTCCCTGCAAGTACTGTCAACTGAGATAGAAGACTCTCCGACATCTGAAGCCTGGGCTGTCATGCTTTTTGAAGAGCTCGTGTTTGATCACCCATTTCAGTATAGAGAAATTCAGACAAGTTAGGACACATCTGGAATTCTGAATTTGATTGGAGTAACCCAGTTGTATCCATGGACAGCACCGCTAAAGGGTAGGGAGCATAACTCCCCGAGGATTAAAGAAATTGCACCAAGCACGCACTGTACGGAATAAGGGAGTTGGCCTTCGGCCTCACGATATTGACATATGGCGAACAAAACCTGTTGCAGTATTTGGAGCCTGGTATGACTGCCCCAGTTGTACTTTATAGTATGAACCAGAATAAAGATCAGTGCAAAGGTTGTTAGCCCGGTCATACCTAATGGATAACTACCCAGGTGAGTAAGCCTACCTAGAACATAGACGTCAGGGTTATATATCCTGATATGCCATCTGAAGGAAAAAAAACAACCACATGATACGTGCAAACCAAGATAAAAAGTTTAAGTCACTGTAGGGAAAGAAACCTAGGTTTTAGAAAAAAACCTGACAATGTCTTTTTGTGACATTGCTATGGAAACAGTTAGATTGCAAACATTCCAGTACAAAGCCTGCCGCTTCCTGCAAATATGAAAATTAAGACCGACCAGAAACTAAGCGAGAAACCAATTACTCTGCTTTGCTTGCCTAAGACAAAGGAAACCAGGTAGTAAAACATTAATAGAGAAAAAAAAGGTAAGTCAGATCTAAGGCAATGTCTAGGATTAAGGACTCCTGTACTTTTTAAACTACTTAATCTGTTTTAACTTTAAGTTAAAGTACAGACACTACTTAACACTACTTAATCTGTTTTTAAATCCCTGATGCATAAATTTGCAAACACCAATTAAGGCAAGACACAGAGGAAAAGGCGATGGGAAACAAGTTCATCAGGGGAAAAGTACAAAGCCTGTCACCGTCACAAATGTTCAAGAAAGTTGCATGAGATGGCTGGAAATAGCGCAGTACTGCCCTTGCCCGTTGGAAGAGGTGGAATTTAAGATCTACTGCTTATGCTTACAGGGCTGGGAAAAGATGGGGAAAGTTTAAAAAAAACTTCCAATCAAGGGGAAAAGCAGGCAGCACAACCACATCATCTTGGAGCAAAAAGGGAGAAAAGCAGGGATGTCCACACTAAATTAGATTCATGGTGCTTCTACTTCAGTACCTTGAATCTAACAGTAAGTGGTACAAGAACAAGTTCACAGCAAAGCTTGTAAGCATTCCTTTGAATTTCTGCCTGTGAAAAACCGCTGTATTTTAGAAAGCGCACCAGTGATCAAAGGCAGCTCCCGTTCTAATGTTCATGTTAAAAGGACATGGATGGCTCCTTTCCAAATGCAAGTGATCATTTTTTTTTCCAGATAAAGAGGCAGAATTACAATCCTCCTCAAGGATGTAAAAAGCAGGTTTCCCAGGATAACATGCCTCAGTCATTTGTCGAAATGGCTTTGCCATCTGGATGGAGAAAGATCCTATTAAAGACCTTATCGTTAAAAAGGCCTTCATCATTCTTCCACGGGTGATCACAAGTTTCCAAAAATGTACTTCTAAAAAAACCCCCCATTTCCACCTACAATTTGCAATCGTTGCCATTCAAAAGAAGGCACTAGGTACAGGTGCCAGTGACATCTTCATCAGCGCTGCCCAGCACTTGGGTGAGCAACCTGGGGGAAACTCGCCTGATTCGGAGTTGTATTGCAAGCAAGAAGCGCAGAACAAGTTTGCACAAAGAGATCAACTTGATTGCAGTACAAATAGCATGACTTTTCTTTTGCCGGGGTGCTGCAAAGACACATGCATCAAGGATACCGCGGTGCTCAGATGCTGCAGTAGAAAAAAACCATGTAAGCACGTTCCTAAACCAGACGGATGTTTTATGACTCGGAAGGGACGCAAAGCTGCGTCTCCAGTGCTTGCAGCCAACGACACCGTACGAACCCGCTCGTAAACGTATCAGGGGCATCAGAAAGGCAGCTACTATTTTGTTGCCACCAGCACCCCTCTAGGAAGGCTCCTTTGACAGCTGGCAGCTGAAGGAGAAACGGCGCAGAGAAATCAAACCCCCTTTATCCGAGGGTGCAAACGGGGAGACAGCAGCAGAGCTGGAAACACAACCCAGGGGCCTGCCAGCGAAGCCAGCCCAGGTCTCAGCTGGAGGTGGAGCCCGCGCAAGCCAGGATTCCCAGCTGCCTGCCTGCTTTGCCCTGAATTCAAGCCGAAGGGGCCGGTGGGACCCAAACGCTGGGTGCGGCGGGGGGTTTGCGGGTCTGCGTGCATGCAGGGGGCAGGTCTCGGC